TTAAATATTTAATGAGATGAATGAAATTGCGATTTCATTTTTTAAAAGTTTTTTATATTGAGGTACGAAGTGAGATGTGCTTATTTTATGGAACGAGGCTAAATGCTTGGCTGTTAGTCTACTTCTGAAAGGATTTTTTCTAAGGTTCATAGTTGAAAACACTTGTTCACATATATTAGATAAAGCAAACATAGCATTGATTTTCTGGGCATGAGATATTAAATTTTGGAAACTAGCTTTTGGTAATGACTTGTAAACTTCAAACTTTTACATATTTAGAAACAACTGCTTTAGATGATTGTTAAATTACAACTCAATTAATTCAAGCAGCAAATCCGACCTCAGAAATGGAGTTAGTGCACTTATTTGGTAAATTAAGGCATAAACTCATCTCTGTTATGAATTTAAAAATCATTCCATTATTTGATTTTGAAAAACTCCAAGTGATATTTTTTCCCCCAGTCATACACATGCAATACCAAATAATAAAATTTAAAAATCTAATTCTTAAAACAGATTCTTTAACAAGCTCTTTTACAGAAATGAATTATAATTTAAGTGATATTAATTTTATAAAATATTCCAACTATAATTTAAACAAAGATCACTACCACCGCTTCCATACTCTGTTTGGAGTATTAATCAATGAAAAAGCTGTGGCCAAATAAACAAAGCTTATGGTCACTAACTATATGTATTAGATAACTTTTACTGTACTTTAATTCCATTATCAATTATAAGAAAATTGAGTATCAATAGAGTATCATTAAAACAATCTATAAGCAGGTAAAGTTATCACTCATAGAACCTTAAATTTTAAACTGTATAAAGAGGTTTTATAAATTGTATCATGAATTCAAAATTATAAAACAGTACCAATTTCCTTGATATTTTGTTTGGTATTGATGTTAAAAATGCACAATCTTCCATCTTCTCCGACGCTTGCAAGGTTGTCTCCTTTAACAGATATGCCAGTAGTAGAGGCGGTCCCGCCACAAAATGAATGAGCATTTTCCCAAGTGTGCAGGGTCTCAAGCTGCTATTTAAAAATAAATATTTATGCATAAATAACCCTAGGAATGACAGTTTATATAGATGTGCTTGGTAGAAACCAAGCCATATTACGACTAAAATGTAAAATTAAATCTTTGCTGAATATTTCATGGGTAGCATTTTTACAAAACATTAAAATAATCAGATAAAATCAACAGCCAGAATTAATAATAATGAAATTTCTTTCAAGTTTTCATAAATTTTATAAGTAGTTACATAGAGAGAATTGAAAGGAGCTACAGAAATCTAAGTAGTTGGCACCCTTTCAACTCTAAAGAGAAATTTTTGATTTTTTTAAACAAGAAATAAAAACAACTTACATCATCAGATAGCTTAAATGCACAGATGGATCCTCTCGAAGATGATGCAAAGATGAAATCTTCAGAAAAAACCTTAATATTTTTGAAAAATGCACATATTTAAATGATATATAAAATAAATCAATGCATAAAGAAATTTATAAGGAATATACATTAAAAGAGAATACAAATACATTTTAGACACAAATAACATTTTAAACATGCAATTATAACGATTGTTCAAAAAAAAAAAAAAAAACTTCACTAAGATAATATTTCATTGCACACTTAAGAAAGAATTAAACCTAAGTAACAGTAATATATTTACAAAGATAATTTATATATTAGAATTGTTAACTATACAATTATTATAAAATTGAATGGCTTATGGCTCATCCTTTATGATTTTCTTAGTATTAACTCACATTCTCAATATTAACTCATATCAAAATGCCTACTTGAATTTTTCAAAACACTAAAGTATAACTGTAGAAATTTTTTTGGCACTTATTGGTCATAGAGACTATGTATTGGCGGCTACTCATCCAAGTTATCACTAACTTCAACACTAGTTTCTATAACAGATAAGTACAAATTTTAATACATAAATATCTTGGTAAAAAATATCAATATATTGTGATATGTTTCCAATTTAATTATTTTATATTAGTTTTACACAAGTCAATGTTTTTGTTACCCAAATTGCATTTACCAATACTCATGATATTTTCCTTTTCATGTATCATGTTATCAATAATAATCATAATATTATCATATTTGATAAGTATTTGGTATTAATAGACTTGTCACAGTAGTTTTTTCTTCTTTTTTTTTTAATGAACTTTGAGCAATTGATGAACTTTAATGAACTTTGAATATTTCCAAAATATAAATAAAGCAATATTATCTGCAAATTAAACTATAAAATTAATTTAAATAATTATTATATTAAATAAAATATAAACTAAGTTAAAAAATATATTTATAAATGTATTTCTTTTGAAGTTATACATATCTTCAGTAGTAAGTTGTTTTAAAATGTCAACCAGGGTTGGATTTTTGATGTCAAAAACTGGTTTTTGACATGACACATCGAAAACCTGTCCTAAACTGTCCATATCTGACAAAAACCCGAGACAAGTTTTTTCATATTATTAGGGATATTTTAATAGAAGCAAAACCATGCACAATACTTGCATTTATTTATATTATACATTATGAAGAAAAAAATAAAGCCAAAATTGTTAAAATTATTAACTGTTTTTTTTCTATAAGCATGGTACTATTAATACTGATAATTGCTACATTATAATCATTCAGTTTCTACTCATAGTTATTGCAGGTAATAACTATGAGTTATAATCTATCAATCTAATTATTGATTTTAATTCTTTTATTTTTCTTTTGATTTTAAATTTTTTCTTTTACTAAAATCAGATATTTTAGATTAAATAAAACTAATGCGGCCACCAATAATTGACTAATCTGAACTTAAGTAATTTTTTCTTTATTCTCAATATTTGTTATCGTACATGACATGATTTATTGGTAAAATACATATACATGAATATTACCAATAAATCATGGTTATGAATTGATAGATTCCCTGATAAGTAAACTAATCCCAATTTACAAAAAATTTAAATGTTCGTTTCAGTAAATATTTTTTTAAATATATTATCAAAACCAGTTGAAAAAAGCAAAATTCAGCATAAAAGTGGCATGTTTAGAGCTGTATTAAAGCTTGCAACATTGTGATATTAGTTACACACATCAGCATCTAATAACCTATGTAAACCAGAATCAGGCGCTTTTCCCTCGTGCGTGCAAACTTTATTTCAAACTTATTTATTTTTTATTACTTTATTTCTTCTAATAAGTACAATTTTTTAAAATAGAATAAAAAAATTCACATGCCCTTAAAATTTAAATTAAAGAAATGGACAGTACTAACCTTTAAATCAGTGACATCTCCAGAAAAAGGTTTAGTACACACAGTCACAGGTTCAAAATCCTCAAAGCAATTATCAATGTCCCCATTTTCAGTTTGAGAGGATGGGAACTTCCACACACTAAGATTATTGTCCTAAAAAATACAAAATTAAGTAATGTGAATTTTTACTTTAATTAAGAAACACAAACATTGTACCAAATATACAATAAAATATACCCATAGTTGAAAAACACCGATTGAAAATAAATGTAGTTAAATTTTTAGTAATCCATAGTTCTGATTATGCACAGAAATATTTTTTTTAAAAATCATTTTTGTTTATTAGTTTTATTGTATGAGGTTATAATAAATGTAGATGATACTGCGTATGTGTAAAAACTTTACAAAAGCTTATATTTTGTAGGTAAAAAAGTTTATAGGAAAAATGTTTAGTGGATGGAAGACCATGAGAAAGTTTTGATTAATATTTGGGTTTTCAAATACTAAGACTCAAATTTAATGGTTTAAGGGATTAACTTTAATCAGTGGTAGTCGAGGCCAAGATAGCCTGGTTAGTAGGGCACAGGGCCCATGTCCAAGAAGTCGTGGGTTCGATCCCTGCTGACCGAAGACTCCCCATGTAGTAAATGGTGACTGATTCACGTTAAATCTGTTGAGTCTCAAAGTACTCCATGTTCCCATAACAAATCATACCACTGGGGGTACTGATCCAGGAGAGGCATAATTGTTAAAATCTATTAGCAATAAATAAATTAAGATTTATTGGAGTAATTAACTTTAAATATTAACATTACTTCTGGCTTGATAGAACTCTTCCCCTGATAGAACTTATTGTCAATTTTAGCAATGTTGGCACTTTAGCTCAAATGACTATTTTATTATTGCATTAAGAATTTGTATTTCTTAATGTAATATGTTTTAAAAAGCAAACAATAATCATTATTTTATAGCATAATATAAATGTAGCTTTTATTATCTGTTTTGATTATACATATTAGATAAGCAATAAATTAATTATTAAAAAAATATTGTTAATTTTTTTTGTTTGATGAGCTTGGCAACTAAATTCTGACAGCTGGGGCACAGTTTTAACTGCAATTAATGTACCACAGTTGTCATTGTAAGCAACAGTCACAACAATGAATAATTATAGGGAAGTTCTCCAAATCATGATCTGTGGTAGAATAATTGCCAGTCTTGGTAACTTTGGGATAGTATCCGAGAAACTAAAATAAAAAAAAAACATTACAGAAGGGGACCAACTCATAACTCCTAACCACCCCTGGAAAAATCTCACGCCTTTTTTAAAAAAAACTTGCAAATTTAAAATTCATTTGGAGCCTTGGTGAATATAGTTGGGGGGATATCGCGATCTGTCCCGCCAAGGTGCCAAATAGATTTTAAACTTGCAATTTAAAAAAAAACAAAACATGTAGATGTTTGCTTGGGGGTGGCAACGAGTAATACCTTTCGAGTTGGTCCCTTTCTGTGATGTTCTTTTTAGTTTCTCACGGGCCGGAAGTTTCCAAGACATGGCGATTATTCTGCCACAGATCACGATACGGAAATATCCCCCTGTTATAGTTGGCGCGATGGATCACGATACAGAAATTCCTCCTAGCAATATCCCTTTATCTTAAGCATGGTAATACCCTTATGCAGTAATTAATTATTATTTTTCTATGTGGTTGTTTTGGTAACCCTAACAAGTTTCTTTCGTTTTATGTAGCAATTTATTCTATTTGGTACCCCTTCTTACAACATACAGCATAGCTTTCTACTTTGTTTACGTATAAAATCCTACTTTCATAATTACTTTCTCCACATCAACCACACGAAATAAATGAGATATTAAAATGTATCAATCGAATATCGTTTAATAAATTTAAACAATTTCTTTAAGCTAAGATTGATGTGTTTAAATAATAAAAAACTTAACATACATCATCATTGTAAGATCCAGTAATGAATTTAGTAGTACTTTTGGGAACCCAGCGAACCTTATTGATTTTCCTGGATACAAATTTTACTTTGATAGACGACATTTTATAATATAAGGATACTTTTAAAAATTAGGTGCACCTTTCCATGAATAGTTTTAAAATTTCCCGGGAAATTATATGAGGGAATGAAAAGTAAACAAAGTTGAAACTAAATTTAAAGGAATACGGTTATGAGCAATCATTCGTTTTTTTTCTGTATTCGAGCTATAAGCTAAAATTTTGTGACTATTGATACAGATTTATAAAAATGACTGAAAGATGGCGCTTAGCATCAACCGAATTCTTCAGTAGAGGACTGGAAGACTAGAAATCTCTGTCGTAACACGAAATAACTTTTTTTTTGAGGATGCTATTTTAGTAACTGCTGTGAGTTTACAACAGTTATTCAAGACTGTTACAATTGTGAAACTTGCGCAAAATTTCACGGAATAGAAAAACCACGATTTTGTAAAATAATGAAATGTGCTTGTGATCTAATTTTAGAATATTTCAAAAGTTAATTCAATGCAGCATTATCTAAGCTCATAGAAATGAGTAAAAAATAAGAATTTTTCATTGATCTTGATAGTTTTCTATTAGTTGGAAGAATTTCACTATACAGGCGATTTTTCAATTTGAAAAACATCTCGTATCGGTTGACTGAGCGAAGAATTTTTGGTATTCATTTTGCACGCGCAGGTGATAAAATCGCCAATAAATAATTAAAAACAGTAACTGTTTTTTTTAAACAAATTAAAAAATAGAATAAATAAATAAAAAATGAATAAATGAATGAATGAATAAATAAATTAATAAATAAGTAAGTAAATAAATAAAATAGAGAAAGCCCGTTGTTGTATCTTCCAATTCGCGATCGCAACGAACTAAAGGGGGCGTTGTTGTATGAGACGAATATCTGCGATTTCTATATGAGCAGTCATTCAGTTGCTCTGGAGTCGTCTTTAATGTAGCGTATAGTATTTTAGCGTTCCTTCTTTATTGTGGCTTATTAAATTTAAAAAAGAAAAATTTTTTAAATTCTTTTTTATGCAAGCGAAGACAAAATGATATCTCTTTTTTTTTAGAGAAGGAACACCCAAAACACATCGGAAAAATATTTGTATATAAACAGAAAAGAGATAAGTATCTTCTTATTAAAGTTAAAACCTAATGCCTGCGAAATAGTTTTACTGAATTTAATGATATAACATGAAAGGCCTTGTCATGCCTCCATGTTGTGATGGCGCTGTCATCAAGGTAGATGTTGTAAAAAGACAGAGGAGGGAACGCTCTGATGGAGAGCGGAAGTGAATTGTTTGGATGTCTTGGTCATATCAATTTTCTAATCTTTTATCATTATTAATAAATGTTTCTTTTGTGTTGTTAATTGGTTACCATTTATTTGGCCAATTGTGATTTTGGGAAGTATCTGAATGAAGAAGGGAAAAGGAGGAAAAATTATACGTTATATCACAGGCCTATTTAAACTTTACATTCTATAGTTTTATGTTACATATTACTTCAAACATTAAAATATGCAAAAAGTATACATAAGCCCATAATTTTATATCATTTAATTTTGCAGAAAAAGTTTCTTGACAACAATTTTTATCAAAAAATTTTAAGTTCAATAAAAATCATTATTTATAAACTAAAAAACGCAAAATAAAGAATGCTTACGAAAAAAAAAAATTCTAAAAATTCCTCAAATTAAAATTATAAACTTTCATGTTTTTTTTTTTTAAATTCTTAATCGGACGTCAAAAACCATTCTATACAGAATTATCATCAAATTAGAAAAAAAATTCTTACAAGTAAATTTTTTATTACAAAAATCATAACACTTACCTGATTTATAAATCAGGAGAATTCCAAAATGATATGTTCTTCGTTTGAAAACTTTATTCTCAAATAATATATACATATATGAAGGAATAATATTCTCAAATAAATACCAAAAAAATATAAAAACTCACAATAAAATTTTATAATTGCAAGATCTCGATATGAATTTCAATATGTAACTTAAAAACAGAATAGCTGAATTCTAGTTAAATTTTTGTTCCATATTTTTCTGAATCATATTAATTCAAACAGAATATGCAAGAAGTATACATAAGCACATAATGTTATATCACTTAATTTTTCAAAAAAGTATTTTGACAACAATTTTTATCAAAAAATTATGAGCTAAAAGACGTGAAAGAAAGAATTCATAGGATTAAAAATTGATTCTAAGAATTCCTCATATTGAAATAAAAAACTTTCATATTGTTTCTTTTTTTTTATTCTTATAGTTCTTAATCGAACGTAAAAAATCATTCTGTAGAGAACTATCATCAAAATAGGAAAAAAAATATTTACAAGTGAATTTTTTATTATAAAAATCATAACACTTACTTGCTTTATAAATCCGGAGAATTCCAAATGAAACGTTCTTAATCAAATGTTTAAAATCATAGATATATTTTTCGGTATTTGGAATTTATTGAAAACAGTTATTAGAAATGATTTTATGGACGTGTGAAAGAGATGAAAAATAAAATGAAAATTAGTGATAAAAAAGAAAGTTGCTTCATCTTAAAAATCTTTTAAAAGAAAAAAAAATAGCTTCACTTCTGATTTTATTTAAACTTTACCACAACTTTCTGATTTTATTTAAACTACGTTGATAAGGTTAACCAGCTTTAAATAGCACTGCTACTACTCTTAATTATTGCAATTTGAAAAGAGCAGACAATTCCATCAAAGAACTTAATGCTAAGTGCTGAAAAACTTCGCCCTATTTGTCGAATAGTTCTGTAATATTCTTCTCTCTGAGTAAATGTATTTTATAAACTAAATTAATTTGATTACAGCTACTGAAATAAAAAAAAATATTGAAGAATTTATTTTTCAAAAGCATTATAAATTACAACGTAAATAAACGAAGAAGGAAAGAAGCAATAATGTCATAAAAATTTCATCTATTACTTTTTAGCGATAAAATTAAAAAAAAAAAGATGTATTAAAGATGAATAATTCTATTTAATCATTACTCATTACTTTATGGTTAATTTGTGTTTTTATTCGCTTACATTCACATGTAAGATAATTTTAAAAGTATAAATTTAGATTGATTTTGGAATGAATAAAATGGAATAATCGGGATGCGTATGACGTCTTAAGGAAAAGAAGAACATGCTAAAAGTACACACACATATATATAGTAAATAAAACAACTCCATTTCTAAAAAGTGATAATTTAACTTATCTAATTTAACTATTCATTGCTATTATTGCTTTTAACTATTAATTGCTACAATTTAACTTAATTTCTAAAAGTGATAATTTAACTTAAAGTTTTTTGTACGATCAAATACACAGGAAGTTTCTATATTTTAGGATTTTTGACTTTAAAATTCCTACATCGATTTTCTTCTCCTGAAATAACAAAGAGAAACGGATGGTAGAAATTTCTCTCCTGATTCGCACATCAGTGATGTGATTTCAATATAAGAACAAAAATTGTAGTAATGTGTTTGCTCTATTTACATTTTACCTTTACGGAATTTTCTTATGTATGTGAAATTGGTAAGTATAAATTAAGAAAAATCATTAAATAAATAAACGTGACTGTGTTAAGTCAACATTAAGAATAGTAAAATATACGGGGTGGGCAACAAAAACGAACCTGATTTCAAAATTGAATAATTCTGCAACAATTGGAGATAAAAATAAATAAAAAAAAAGGTTTACTAATCGGGAAGGCTGAAAAAGATTTATGTATAATTTTCGTAAATAGTTACAAAATTTTAACAATAGAAGAACTTTGTATGGTGAAAGAGGTGCAAACTACTGCCTTTTGGCAAATTTTGTTTCGATGTATAGTTTTGTACTATGCACTGTATGATAAATTTGCAATTTCTGCAAATATATAACAATCCTTTTTATTTATAATCCCGCTTGACGGCAACTTTCATAACTAATCACGAATGCTATGTGTGAAAAGTTTAAAGTTCCAATATTAGTATTACAACTCTCTTCATTCTTTTACCAACCATTGCTTCATATATATTTTATTTTAAAATCAGATACTATTTCACTGGTTAAATAAAAGTTAAAAAAAATGGTAATGGTATTATTATTTATTTCAATAAAAAATGGTATGTTCAGTGATAGCTCAAAAGGCTCATAATAATTAGTAACATTGCATATGTTAATTGATTAGTAAAATGATAATAATTGAAATTATGAAATCAGACTCAAAAACGCATTTCCTCTTATTAACAGCACTTTTTATGACAGATTTGAACTTTAGACTCGTGGAAAAAGGGGAGTGGAGTACCTGAAATATTTTTAAAAAATATAACTGCTAAAGTTTTTTCAGTAAGCAAGCCAGAAATGTGACCGTCTTAATTTTCTTTTTGCTTTTTACGTTTTCTGTTATATCCCTTTACCTAATCGCTCAATCAAAACCTTCTGCATTCATTTATCAAATTGGATTATTCAAAAGTAAATTAAAGCAAAAAATTACTTTCATTAAGTATATTGACTATTTTATATTATTTATTTTATAAAGCACGAAAAAAACTTTGAATCTTTAAGGTTCAAAAATTTATTTATTTCTTCTAAAGTTTATAATTTACGGTGTAAGAAACTAAAACTTCAGTTAAATCGGCAATACTTGAGAAAAAAAAATTTGTTTTACTTGAATTCCGTCATTGACCATTTTTAGGGTAAAAATCTAAAACTTTAAGAGGATGCAAAGAATTTTAAGCCTCAGAATGCAAAATTTTCTATAACTTTTTTTAAGTAAAATAATATCAAAATAAATCAATTAATAAAGTAGCGCAAACAATAAGTTCTGTATCATAATAGTTGAGTATTCTTTATTTCATAGTACTTGTTGCTTGAGAGAAGAGGGATATGGAATCCGTTTTCAACTGCAATATGTAACTGGGATCAAATTCAGATTGAGTTCAACAGCTGGTATCGTAATACAAATGGTTATGTGCTTATGAAAAACGTTGAGAACGAGAAAAATATTATTAATTTTAAGCTTCTTTTAGAGGCATTAACATAAGAATCTCACTGTAATTCTTATTGCTATGTTTTCATTTTTTTCTACAATCATAATTATGACATACTAGGAAAAACGAAGCAAAAATAAAGAAGGGTGTATGAGGTATCATTAGAGAAGGAAGCCAGCAAACAGAGTTGATGAAA